GTCATCAGAGCTACCCTCCTGCTTCAAAGGCCTCTGCCTCCTCCTCACCTGCCTGCTCCCCCCACCCACCCCCAAGCTCAAGGAGATCCAGACCCTGGGTTTCCCCAACAACAGCACCCTCTCCTGCCACCCGCCATCCTGGGGTCTCTTCAAGAACCTTGGGTCACCTGCACAGCGTGGCTCAGTGGCTGAGCATCGACCTATGAAGCAGGAGGTCACGAGTTCGATTCCCAGTCAGGGCACATGCCTGGGCTGTGGGCTTGCTGCTCCTCTCTGCAGGAGGCAGTGGATCGATGATTCTCTATCATCATTGATGTTTCTGCCTCTCCCCCTCCCTTCCTCTCTGAAATCAATAAAAACATACCAGAGGCCCGGTGCATGAAATTAGTGCACAGGTAGGGTCCGTAGGTCTGGCTGGCCGTCAAGGCCCATTGGGGCCTTCCAGCTGCAGGCCGAGGCCTTCCTTCATTTCGCGCCGCCCCCTAGTGGTCAGTGCAATCAAACTCCTGGTTTCCCTGTAGAACTCGGAGGAGACACTTTGCATATTAGCCTTCTATAAATACTAGTATAGACATATGAAAAGAGAACATTGGGTCTGTTATGGTTGAACTGCACCCCTCAAACCCAAAGGTTGAAGTCCTCACCCCTAGGGGCTCAGAACATGACTGTGTTTGGAGAGAGGGCCTTTGGAGAGGTGATGGAGGTAAAGTGAGATCATTGGGGCGGGGCCCTGAGCCCCTGGGATTGCTGCCTGAAGAAGAAGAGACACAGGGGCCTCACCCAGAGGAAGGACCAGGCGCCCAGGGACGCAGTGAGGAGCTGGCCACCTGCAGGCCAAGAACAGAGACTCTAGGAGAAGCCAACCCTGCTGCCGCCTTGATCTTGGACTTGCAGCCTCCGGATCGAAAAGAACATGCATTTCTGGCCGTAACTGCTTTGGCTAAGTGGATAGAGTGTCGGCCTGCGGACTGAAGGGTCCCGGGTTCGATCCCGGTCAAGGGCATGTACCTTGGTTGTGGGCACATCCCCAGTAGGGGGGGTGCAGGAGGTAGCTGATTGATCTTTCTCTCTCATCAGTGTTTCTAATTCTTTATCCCTCTTCCTTCCTCTCTGTAAAAAATCAATAAAATATATTTAAAAAAAAAAAAAAAGAACATGCATTTCTGTTGTTTAAGCTTCTGGGGACGTGGGCGTTGTTATGGAGGCCTGAGCACTGCGCCAGGGGTCACACTCCTCACCCAGCTCTCCAGACTGCACCTCTGGCCCCTCTCCTCCCCTCCCCCACTCCATTCCCCACCTGTCCCTGCTTCCCAGCCGCCTCCTCTCCACACCCTACCTGCCCCCCCGTGGAGCTTTCCAGAACATCCCGGAAGCAGACGGCTCCACCACGGAACAATGGACAATCTGTGCAGTCCCTTTGCATCTGAGTCTCGCTCCCAAACTCAGTGGGAAATGTCCCAAGTCCTGGACCCGGCTGCTCCGCTGGGCAGTGCCTCACACTCACAGGCAGGGAGGTCACTGAAGTGCAGAGAGGGGTCTGGGGCGTGGGGTGGCAGGAAGACACGCGGTCACCTGCTGTCCGTGGGACGCGGACCAAGCCACGGTATTCTCCGAGCCTCAACCTCCCATCTGTGACATGGGGAGGGTGCTTCTCCCGGGAGATGGGCACGGAGGTTGGTGAGATAGTGCAGGAAACGGGATTGTCATCCAGGCTGGCCACAGCGCCTCTGGGCCCCTCCCAGGCCGCCCTGTCTCCAAGCCCGGGGTCTGAAAAGGGCGATGACCACAGCACACCCGCCAGGTGGGAACATGGAACTGTCCTTTGCCTGATGTCGCATCCACGCGGCCCGACGCGGGCTGTCAGCACCTTTCTGACGCCAGCGCCCAGCTCTGCTCTGCACCTTCCGGCTCTGACCTCTGCGTTCACTCCCAGGGAGCAGCCATGGCTACCGAAGGGCCCGCTGGCCCGGCCTGGTCGCCAGATGGCGCTGCGGCCCCAGCGATGGTGCTCAGTGTCTAGAGGATGGGGGTGGAGGGGTGGGGGCGGCAGGAGGCAGGTGAGAGGGGTGCAGAGGGACCCAGGGCTACCACCCAGACTCCCGCCTCTACAACGGAGGAGGAGGGGCTGATAAAAGTGTCTTGATCCTTTGCTTTCAAGAAGCCAAAAACTGGATTTTTGTTTGAAAAGCTGCCAATTATTGTCATTTAAATTTTTAAATAAAAACCATTTGTGGACGAAAAAAAGGGGTGGGGGCCATCTGTGGCAGTAACCTCACAGGGTGCCCTTATCCTGAATTCCTAACCTGGCAGGTGATGGTGGGCCGTAGGCCCCAGGCCTGTGGCTCTAATAGAAGGCCTGCCCACGGTGTCTGTGCCACGAGGGGGCTCGCACACCTTTGACATAAACCCGAGCTCCCAGGAGAGAGTGGTCATCTCGCTGACTCTCCCACAATCGAATCCCTGCCTTGCTTTCTCCCATCTTCTTCCTTCTCTCTTTACTTTCAAATGCATAAAAGAAACTATTTTCCAGGGCATTTGAGATCTTGCTCCCCAGCATATTTCGTCAGCTGGGCTCAAATAAACTCTTACAAAAATTCTCTAGCCCGGCAGGTGTGGCTCAGTGGTTGAGCCTCGACCTATGAACCAGGAGGTCACGGTTTGATTCCCAGTCAGGGCTGATCCCTAGTAAGGAACACACAGGAGGCAGCCAATGGGTGATAATCTCTCATCATTGATGCTTCTCTCTCACCCTCCCCCGCCCTTCCTCTCTGAAATCAATAAAAATATATTTTTAAAAATTCTCTATAGGTTTGGATGTTTCCAACATCTACATCCTTTCCTAAGAGGTGATGAAGGACATAGTGGGGGGCGGGGGGGCGGCCCCCTCCTTCCTCACACCAAGCCCTGCCTCTGGCCCCTCTCTAGCGACCCCTCCCCTGCTCACAAGGACACTGTGGCCAGCCTCCAGGCTTCTGTCTCAGGCCACATCAGACCTGTGGGGGAGGCCTGTCCTGCTCCGCCCTCCCCTCCCCCCAGGTCTGTGAGTCACAAGCTTTTCACAGCCCCTGCCCGTCAGCGGCTTCTCAACTTTCGTTGGCATTAGGACTGACTTTTGAAGTTCTACTGACGGGAGAACAAGAATTCATAACTTTGTTAAATAAATTGACAACGGAAACTCTAAGACATTAACTGCTAAACAAGGAAATGGCACACAAAGGTGGCTGTCAGAAGACGAGATGTTTAAACGGAAAGAAAAGGCCTCCACCTCGCTAGTGATGTTTAAATTCAAGCGGAAACACGAGCCCAGCTCTGGCGGATCACAGCAGCGGGAACGTGCACATGTGGATGCACATGACGGTGATTAGCTAAATAATTACAAACACATCATTTGTCCGTTTAAAGCAACGATGCACTCATTTCATGTTAACATAAACAGTTTTTTTCTAAGTAGGGAAACGAAGAGCATCGTTTTATATTTTTGCAATTCTCTGTAGTGCCTGATTTAGTGTAAAAGGCAGCTGGGTTCTCACTTCTGCTTCTGCATTCGGGAAACCCCAGCCTAAACCCTGAGAACACGAGCGAACGGGCCCAGAACTCAGGTTGGTGCTATTGCAGAGGTGGTTTCCAGCCCACGGGGTCCCCAGGCCACCCGGTGAGAACCCTGATGGATGGCCCAGCTCCAAGGGGTGCGGGCGAGGGGAGGGAGGCAACAGGAGGGGCGGGCAGGTTTTGGACCCGTTCTCTTAACCACACGGGGACCCACGGAAGTCCCCCTCCCCCGCCTGGCAACTGGCTCCACGGAGAAACCCTGTGGCTAGTTGGCGCTCACCCACTGTTGCCACCCGCAAGGTTTTGCATTGGAGAATTTTTTCTAGGAGGAAACCATCGTAACCTGCAACGGTAGCAGTAGTAGTGGTTAGGCAAAGGGTGGCTTCCAAAGCCCAATACTCTGCTGCCTTAAAAAATAAATAAATAAAATAAAAGGGAAGGATGTGTTCATTACAAATGCAGCCGCCGGGTTTATTAAGAGAGAACACAAATGTAGAACCACGTGACCTGTCCAGTGTGTTTTGGGAAGAAAATAACATGTATAACCGGGAAACTGCTGATAATAATTGGTTATCTTTGGAGACATACAGAAACTTAAAAAAATGTTTAACCTTCCAGCAATGAACAGCATATTGCGTACAAGTGTTCACAGTACAACTGCATTTGGTCCTTAAAGACGGGGCTGCAATCGGGGCTCCCGCGCGTCCTCTGCGGCCCCGGCCCCGGGAAGC